TTTGTATCGTCAGTATGTGGACAGAATTGTTAGTACCGCGTTTCAAAAATACACATGAACTTTTAAAACTAATTAATATCCTTAAAAGTTTGTTGTTGAAGAACGAGAGGTAATAAGAATTTTTATATTTTTCAATAAAAAATCAAAGAATTAATGTTATTTTCAAATTTTTAAAAGGTTTTTGAGATCTCAGTCAAAAAAACTAATCATTCCCAATGTAAAAATCTCTTTCGAGTTAGATGCATTTGAAGACCCGAGAGTAAAGTCATACAGATAATATTTACTAGCTGTAGACTTTTACTGTAGTAATTTTTTAAACATGATACTTAACGATAATTTTTAAAAATTTATAGATATTATTGAAATTTTTGAAAGTTTAAAGGTCTATTTAGAAATAAAGTATAAGACGGGATATTATTATTTTAAGTAACTTTATATTTGAGGGCGACAAATGCGTAGTGTTGACCGAGTAGACTTCCTTTTTCCAAAATTCTGTTCACATTCTCTCAATTAATTTTTATTCTAACTATCTCGTGTCATCATTTTCATTATTTTCCATCATTTTTTATAAAAAAAATAAATATTAAAACTTATTATATACTATTTATAAAAACACCTCAGGTAAATTAAATAATAATAATAATAATAATAAATCTTCTAATAAAAATATATATCATCGATAAATATGTAAGAGGTTCGAATCTTTACTTTTAATAAATTAATTTATAAATTAAAAAAATATATTTAAAAAATTACTCATTAAATAGAATTTTGAGCTATAACATTAGTTATTTATTTAATTATTATGATTTTTATTTTTTTATAAAAAAATTTATAATTTGATAAGTTCTTAATTAGTTGTTTATTTATTTATTACACTTTTTATTTTTATTTTTTTTTATATAAGATTAAAATTTAACTAAACTTAGATTATATATCTAATTAAATTACCGGGTTTTTTTTTATTAATTTAATCTTATAATTAATATGTATTAAATTAAAAATAGTAAAATTTATATAAAAAAATTAAAATTATTGAAAAAAAATCAATCTAAAAAAGATATTTTTAACGCACAATTAATAAAATAAAAATCTATTTTAATTTGTGCATCTAAATAAATAAATAAATATATATATATATATATATATATATATATATATATATATAGACGAAACCCTAAAGTTGGGGGTTTGGGTTAGGGGGAAAGGGAAGGAAGGGACCAAAATATTCTCTCCACCCAAAAATACAAAATACTTTTTTATAATTATTTTCAAAAGAAAAAAAAATAATATTTTTTTTTATTTATAATTATGGCCCATCATTTTTATCTATTTGTGGTTCACACTCCCTAACCCTTTTATTTATTTATTTATTTATTTATTTATTTATTTATTTATTATTATTATTATTATTATTATTATTTTGCTCCATATTTCATGATGTTGACTACTAGCAAATATGGAGCTAAACCTTGATTCCCTTGCCCAAGGCCAAGGGCATAGAATCATATCATTAATTCTCTTTTCCTTTTTCTTTTTCTCCACGAGGAACGGGTGGCAGAATTCGTTGTCAAATTTACAAGCTTTTCACGAAAAAGATAAAATAAAATAATTTATGAACATCTGAGATCCCGCTTTGATTGAGATTGAAGAGGAGAACGAAACATTTTTTATAAGAGTGTAGAAACCTCTCCTTAGGAGATGTTTAAAAAATCGATACGTAACTGACAAAAGAGGGCAATATCTGTCAGTGATGGGCTTGGACGGTTAATAATGGTATTAGAGGCAGACATTGGGCAGTGTACCAAGCGAGGACACTGGGCCCAAGGAGGTGGATTCTAAGATATCATATCAATTGGAGAGGAGAACGAAGTAGGGTGTAGAAATCTTTCCTAGACGTGTTTTAAAACCTTGAGAGAAAGTGAAAAAGGAAAAGTTCAAATAGGACAATATCTGTTACGGTGGGTTTGAAATATTATAGAACAAGACACTTTTTCCATATATCAGCTTATTATTGACACAATATATCATTCATATATACTTCATAAAATTACCATCCATAGCCTCCAATATTCTCGTTGAAGGTTATTCCAGTATTCTCGGGAGTATGACATGAGTCATTTCAGTGCTATAGCGCTTGATACTTCAACATTAAATCGAAGTATTTTCTCTTCCCCTTCCTACCCAAAAAAACAAAGGGTACCCTATGTCCTTGACCTAATAACTATCGTTCGACTAATATAATACTATAGGTTACTGTTAGACCTAATATTAAACACATCACTAACGTACCGTTAGTATCTTGAATCTCATTTGAATTCTTTTTAGATTACGGGTGTTTTGAACGATTAAATTATATTAATATTTATGTAGTTTTTTTAAATTAATAATGTCGTATTTATTTGAATTAATTTGTGGATGAGGTTGGAGCCTAATCTTTTTAAGCATATGCTTATTATATTTATTTATGATGTAGACTTGATGAAGTTTAAGATCAATCCCTTTGAATAAAAATAAATGTTTTTTTTTAAATGGAAAATAAAAAATGTTATCATATTCTATTTGAATTTTGTTTTTATTTTTTTTTCAAAAATAAAAATAAAAATAAAAATAAACCTATAATTTTATTTGTGGTTGAGATATATGATGTAGACTAGAAGCCAATATTAAACTGAAATTTGATTCCTTTAGGCTAAGGTGAAGAATAAAAATAAATATTTATTATTTTTAATCCATAATTATAAATAGGTATAGTGAATAAGAGTTTTATTTTTTTCTTTTAAAAAATAAAATAAAAAGTAATTTAATGTTTTATTTTTAATATTATATTCTTGACCGATTGGATAATTATTTGACTTTTTTTTAAAAAATTAATTTTATAAATACTATTTCCACTTTCTTTGTTTTATTATCTTCTTTTATAAATATTTTTAAAATTCAAAATTAAAAGAAAAAATGACAATTATTTCTTGATTCAAAAATTTATTTCTGAAAAATAAAGAATTCTGTAGAAAACAAAAACAAATTTCTAGCTAAAAAAATATATTTAGTTCCGAAAAAATTAATATGTTTTATAGAATAAAAAATAATTAAATATAATTATTTCATAAATTTATAATGCGAAGATATTTTGTCCACAAATCACGAATGAACTAAAATTTTTAATTTTCAAAATTTTATTTTTATTTCTATAATTGGATCAACAATTCAAATATTTATTTTTTACTTAAAAATATAAAAACTACTATAAAGATTATATAATAAAAATTATTTTTTTTAGTTATAACGATTTAGGTTCAGAATTCTAATGAAAATGAAATTTAATAGAGTTAAGAGAATAAATTTATCTCCGTAAATATTTTTATCGATTTCCAAATTTTTCAAAATTACGTACATGTGGAACTTCAAAACCCTAACCTCTTCATTGAGGCTACAAGGTTCGATCTTAAATGCCAGTTTTGAGTTTTCAAAAACAAACTTCTTTGAGTTTAAAACTATGGAGTTCAGATTCAGCATTTGATGACCATGATATTCTCTTACATACCCAAAATGATCACGTTACCTACTTATCTTGAATTGCTAATAAGAGCAAAAACTATCTGCATAAAAAAAATACGAGTCTTTTTAGTATGCTCTATCCTCACTCAAATGTTTCGTAAGTAAGAAAAATTTTAGGTCGTCCAACATAAGATTGTTCCAAGCTAGGCATGTTTAACTTTAGAGTTCATATAATTGAGCCACCGAAAAACAAATGCAATCGGTGAGTATAGGCAGTAACTGTAACATCTCAAGCCCACTGCTGACAGATATTGTTCCACTTTTTCTTTCGGACTTCTCTTCAATGTTTTTAAAACGTGTCTAAAGAGATTTTCACACCGTTATAGAGAATATTTCGTTCTCCTCTCCATCTGATGTGGGATCTTACAGTAACTATTAATTGTTTTAAACATTTCTTAACTATTATATTTTCAATATCCTCGTTCAAATATAGTCGTAATTTATTCACGTATCTCTCATATACTCGAACATCACAACAACAAAAATTTAATGACTATCTCGAAATTGGGTTTCTCCCGATCCATCTTTAAAGAGCTTTAGTTGTAGAGAGACAGCATTATTGCATAATCGTACTGTCTCCAAGAAAGAGTGGGATTTTGACGTACAACGAGCATGGATTATTGCATCAGAATTTCAATGAATATCATCATGATATTTAGGACACCTTTTTTTTTCCATTTTTATGCAAATATCATCGACCACTTTATAGCATAGACAAATTATTGGGTTATGATTCCTACCAATAGAGCGTAAGCTTGTAAACATACCACTAATAGTTCAACCTCAATGTTAACCTCCAATCCATTTAAGATTTTCATCGACATGAATATAACTCAATTAGTTTAAAAACTATTAAAAATTCATTTAGAATTTTCAACCGAAGTCCAAACCCTTATGAGCAATGTTTAGACTAATGATTTTGTAACAGCTCAAGCCCACCGCTAGCATATATTATTCTCTTTGGTTTTCCCTTTCGGACTTTCCCTTAAAATTTTTAAAACACATCTGCTAGAGAGAGGTTCTACATCCTTATAAAGAATGTTTCATTCCTCTCTCTAACCGATGTGGGATCTCACAATTCATCCCCTTCGGGACCAGCGAGGACACTGGCACTTGTTCCCCTCTCCAATCGATGTGAGATCTCACAATTCACCCCCTTCGAGGCCCAACGTACTTGCTGACACTCATTCCCCTCTTCAATCGATGTGAGATCTCACAATCCACCCCCTTCGAGGCTTAGCGTCCTCTCGATGTGGGATCTCACAATCACCCCCTTTAGAGCTCAACATCCTCCTGATATGGGATCTCACAATACACCTCATTTGGGACTCAGCGTCCTCTCGATGTGGGATCTCACAATCCACCCCTTCGGGGCTTAACATCCTCGCTGGCACACCGCCCCGTGTTCACCACTTCTGTCAAGATTAAAAACGTGGAATCTCTTAAATAACTGCCCTAACATTTCATATCTTGTTTCATTCATCTCAAGAGGAAGAAGAAAAGGATGGAAACATTCAAATTACATTTCACAAAACAAGGACAACAAAAAGCTAAGAGAAGTTTTGCTTTCACTATTGAGAAAGAAAAACCAAAACCTAAAAGGGGTCTTATCCTCTTGCTTGTGGGGTTGGTAGACCTTTGTGGGGAAGCCTGCCCTTAGTGCTATATTGTGGATGGTATAATGATCAGATATGCAGACCACAAAATCGAATACCAAGTACCTTACGCGTGCTTCTCGGCGTTTAAACATCTAATTTGCAGTGTGTAGTAAAAAGTTGGCACCCCAATTGCTCTGAGAAAGTGAAACTTGGAGCTACCCTTTGATATCGATATCTTTATGTGATTATTCTTCGGGACTATGAGTATATAGAAGCCAGAATCAACGACCCGACACCTTTATACTTCGTCTGATTAAAGTCATTACTACCTGTATGCTAATAGAACCAAAAGAAATACTTTATTTGGGATCCTAATGAAAAACATCGTAAAACATATAAATACACCGAAATATAAAATAATTTAAAGAATCTCGTAATACAATCTCATTAAAAAAAAAATGAATGAAATAACATAAATGCAAAAGCTAGACTGACTTCGACTCATTATACATTCAACAAACAATACGTCGCCCACCTTATCTATTCTTCAAGAAAAAATAATGAGAAAATATAAAGCATTAAAAATACTCCGCAAGTGACCTCACTTTAAGAGTCTGAATATGCCATCAAATAAGAAATAACTATAGTGGGACTTAATAATTCATCGTCCCATTCATCATGTATACAAAACCAAACATACATCACTCTCAGGAACCCCAAGTCTTTTTGCATCTATTTCATGTATTGATGTGCATCACTACGCATTAAATGGATGCGTTCATGTCAGAAACGACAATAGGGAGCTTGGTTAAAATGGTTGATTCTTATTCAAAATCTCAATTACTTTCACCCGCATATCACTCTACGATCCAATTCCTACCCTTGGCGAGCATCAGACGTCCTTAAAGATACCTGCAGCCACACACTCGGTGAAAACGGAGTATGGCCTAGAGTATTTTTTGGCAACCCAAAACTCGGGTTAGGGATGAATAATTGAACTTATTTCTCGATTCAATGGAAACCAATTTTAGGCATATCGACTCGTCCAGTACATGGGACAAGCATCACATCCTCTATTTCCTAAATGAAATGAATCAGAAAAATCCTAGTCTGTGGGTAACTTGCGAATGTGGCCTATGTTGAAGCTCAAGCTAACAAGCCACTAAAACCATACAAAAACAATGGTTTGCGGCAGGGAGTTCCATTTGGGGTTTGGGCAAATGTACAAAGAACAGAATGATTATGATCAGTAGCACGATGATGATTCACAATAAATGGACCTCCTTGCTTGGTTTCCAAATGGGTTCTATGTCATTTACCATATCATACTTTATTTTTGTCTCAGCTTAAAATCAATATAAAGAAATAAAATCAAGGCCATTCAAAAGGAGAATCATCAGTTTCAAAAAGAAACGTGGGAAGTATGCCATAAAAAGATTATTGATACCTCTCATCCCCTTCCACCATGGTCATCTCAACTGCATTTCTATCTCTGATATAATCATCACCACGAGAACGCCCTCCGCGCATAGTCCCTTTTTGTGTCTCTCTCTCTTCGTTTTTTTTCCCTACATGTTGAACACAATTCTTTGTAGAAAACACTCGCTGTGAGATCCCACATCGGTTGGGGAGGAGAATGAAACACCCTTTATAAGGGTGTGGAGACCTCTTCCTAGCAGACGCGTTTTAAAAACCTTCAAGGGAAAGCCCAAAGTGGACAATATCTGCTAGCGGTGGACTTGTGCCGTTACACTCGCACTCCTTATTAACACTCTGTAGAAACTACTGCTGCACTCTGTGCTTTGTATTTCTTGGGATGAAAACCTAAGTAGGATGGAGGGGTATTTATAGTAGAGGCTAAACAATTTATTCCTAAAATATCTAGATATTTTTATTTTAAAATACCTGAATCATTTTCCTAAAAATAAATATTCAATAAGCTCGTACAATTATTGGGCTTGACCTTATTGAGCTAGTGATGATATTTTAACACCGGTCACTCCAATAAAAAGAACTAGACATACCGCTTGCTTTCATGTCTACCTTCCTGAGAGTGAAGCTGCTTGTGGTGGTTGTTGATAATCAATTTAATAGTTTGCAAAATAACACAGATAGAAATGATACATTTTAAAATTCAGTAAGCAAAGAAGTCAGTCTAGGAACTGTGACAAATAAAGTCATTCTCAGAAAACTATACACACGGCCTAAAACAATAGATTTCTGCCTTTTGATTTAAAACTACCAAATGAGGACAGAACCTCGTTTGAGACGCTTTATGTGCCACCACTCTTTGTATTTGCAACAGCCTAAATCCACCGCTAGCAGATATAATCCTTTTTGGGGTTTTTCCTTTCGAGCTTCCTCTCAAGGCTTTTAAAACGTGTCTTCTAGGATGTGAGAGAGGTTTCCACACCCTTATAAAAAATGTTTTGTTCCCCTCTCCAACTAACGTGGGATCTCACAATCTACCCCCCTTCGAGGCCCAGCGTCCTTGCTGGCACTCATTTCTTCTCCAATCGATGTGGGACCCCCAATCCACCCCTCTTCGGGGCCCATCGTCCTTGTTGGCACACCGCTTTGTGTCCACCCCTTTGGGGCTCAGTCTACTTGTTGGCACATCTTCCGATGTCTGGCTCTGATACCATTTGTAACAAACCGAAGCCCACCGCTAGCAGATATTGTCCTCTTTGGGCTTTCCTTCTTAGAATTTCCATCAAGGTTTTTAAAACACGTCTATTAGGGAAAGGTTTCCACAACCTTATAAAAAATGTTTCATTCCCCTCTCCAACCGAGGTGGGATCTCATCTAGAACCATACAAGCCAATACTTGTCATAATGAGAACTTTTGTTGCTTGGGCATAAGTTTGAACTCCAGAAGGAAGTTAAATTTCCTAAAAGATGTATGTGAGCTAGCCCAACCTTGAATACTCCCATTAGTTTCTTTCAAGGGAAAAAAAAAAAAAAACAGCATACCAAAAAAGTTTGTCAGACTAAAATGGGGATGGCAACGTGGCCCGATAATTGTAGACTTAAAAGATGTATGGTGAGAATATTTGCTAAAACCAACACACCTATATGGTGGTGAAAGTTCTCTATTTATAATCATTTACGTAATCAAATAAATTACAAAAGAAATGGAAAGAGCAATAAATAGATACAAGATATTTGTCTATCATAAAATGTCAAATATGATACCTATGGTAAACTGTAATGGAAGGCTAAATATCATACAAAATATTTGTCTATAATAAAGGGTCAAATATGATACCTATAGTAAATAGTAATTGAAGGCTAAATACCAACAAGATATTTGCTATAATAAAATGTCAAACATGATACCTGTGGTAAACCTAATGGAAGGCTAAATATCATACAAGATGGAAGGCTAAATATCATACAAGATCTTTGTCTATAATAATTGGTCAAACATGATACTTATGGTAAACCGTAATGGAAGGCTAAATATCATACAAGATATTCGTCTATAATAAAGGGTCAAACATGATACCTATGGTAAACCGAAATGGAAAGCTAAATATCATACAAGATATTTGTCTATAATAAATGGTCAAATATGATACCTATGGTAAACTGTAATGGAAGGCTAAATATCATACAAGATATTTGTCTATAATAAAGAGTCAAATAAAGAGTCAAAGATACTTATGATAAACCGTAATGGAAAGCTAAATATCATACAAAATATTTGTCTATAATAAAGGGTCAAATATGATACATATGGTACATAATTTAAGGCTAAATATCCTCAAAAATCACCGTTAAAAGCTGTGAAGGAAATAAAACAGATGGAGAAGAATACAAGAGAACATACAATAATCATAGCAAAAGTCCATTTAGACCAATGTGGCAGACACCACCCTAGGATGGATAAAACACCCCTTATACCCTTGAAATTCAGAAGCAATTTAACATCAATACTTTTTCCTTGAAGATGCCAAGTTTTGTCAATAAACATATGCTAAATAAAACACCCCTTAGAGGATGCCAAGTTCTCAGTAAATACTTTGCAAGAAGTATAAAAGTTCAACAGATGCAAGGCACAAATCTATTATAAAAATTGAATTAACTAAATATTGTCAAGCTTTTGGGTGATCAGTGCATCTTTAACTGGTACAAGAGAGATTGCAAAAAAATAAACAGAAGTTTAGGACGTACATCTAAAAAAACAACAGAACATGTTACGCTTTAGCTTTTCCAGCCTGCAGAGATTGACTCCTCTGCTGTAACTTCAATATCTGGAAAACAGAAAACCAACAGTAAGTAATCTTCAAAAAATCGCCGCTTGGGCCAATCATTTCCTCTTAACGATCAAACCTAATGTGTTCAATAAAAAACGTTAAGGTGTTTAAAGTCATGCCTAGTAACTCGCATATCTATGGCTCAGTCTATCTCAACTCTACTCAATCGTTCTATCTATAATCTTAAGAACTTGAAGTGAGTTCATGACTCAAACTCCTTATTGAAATTCACCTCTCGTGTTGATACTAATGCTAAAGAGCCTCAAATACTTGGGGTAAATCGTCCCCACATTTTCATTCTTATAGCTTTGCTACTTTTTGTTCAATTGGATAAGTTAATAACTCTTTTGTATTGGGAAAGAAATATAAAAGGTTAAAATGAATCTGAAAGAGGAAGAAACATGCAAGAATCATTTCTGTTCTCACAAAAAAATTCTCAATTTACCTACAGTTTTTAATCAAGTTCAGATTTCATTCTCTTATCAGAAGTTCAGATTTCACTTTCTTTGTTTTCAAACAATCATTTCTGGATCCTCCAACAAACATGCAAGAATCATACACAAAATAAAAATGTTTTATTGCTTTTTGTTGAGGTCCTGCAAATATCAGCCAAAGGGTTAAATTTAAGATCTATAGAGGTATGAGAAGAACATACAGCGTCTCTCTTGCTATTTTGCTTCTCTTCCAAATCTTGAAGGGCTGAATCCAGACGTTTCCTGAATTGTGTAAATATTATTGAATTAAAACGCATGAAAATGGCGACTGGCATGAGAAAACTATATTATCACTATCGTTAATGTATATGGAAGAAGAATGCCATAAATGATAAAGAACAAAATGCAAGGAAATTGAATTGAAAGATCGACTCTGCTCTCTTGTTTGATCTATATTTCCCTCTTTTCATTTATGCTCTTCCCTGTGTTCAACTCTCTCTCTCCATCTCCATCTGGGATGCAACAGTAGGAAGAAAAAATAGGTTGTTCCACCAGCTATTGAGAAAAAATGGTTGAACAGCCTTCCCTCCATAAACCTGCATTATCAAAACCTTGAGGACCCTTCCTCCTAATAACCTTTTCTTTGCAGAAAGGCTATCTCCAACCAATTTACGTCTCTTTGTACAGAAGAAAAAGATACAGGCAGTGGAGAAAAGATGAGAAAATATTTCTGTAGCCATAGTATTTTTCTTTTTATATTCAGAGCATTATCTTTCAAAAACGTCCTTCGACACAAGTTTTCACTACCCTTTTTGTTGTTTAGAAGTACATACTGTCTTCTAAGACCAATAGTCTATGAGTTTAAAAATAGTCTATACCAATAGTTTAGGAGTTGCCTTCTGTCGCATTTTTCCCCTTCTCCTCAAGTCGTTATAGTCGAAACAAAATGGAGTAAAAAATACCTAACAAAATGACATGGCAGTTGAATTGTCATCACGGACCAATCAAACTATAATGCATGAAAGTTTTGGAAGAGTAACAAATTGGTGACTATTTCAAATTAAGAGTAACAAATTGGGCAACTTCTGTTCCTATTTAAACACACTTTCTTCTCTTTACTCGCACACAATTCTTCTACAATTCTTAATCCTCTCTTACTAAAATCCCTATTGTTGCTCTTCCCTACCTTCAATTTCTGAGACACAATTCTTCTACATTTTAAATCCTCTCTCTTTCAAAAATCCCTATTGTAGCTCTTCCCAAGCTTCCAATTTCAGTATATTGTTGTGAGTACTTAAATTGTAAATGTACTCTTGAGAGAGTTGTGGTCCATTCTTCAAAAATTCCAACATTTGAACTGGTTTGGTTCTGAGTCGTGGAAATGATTGAGTTTGCTCTTTAACTCGTAAAATGAGCAATCTTACGGTTTTGTCTGATTTGAGAAAAGAGTCAAAAAAGTTTTTATTAAGATTCCCAAGAAGCACTTGGAGAGTGGAGTAGGTCGAATTTGACCGAACTACTATAAAATTACAGTGTTACTTTCTCCAACTCTATCTCACTTAATTTTGAAATTATTATTGTGATTCGTTAGTTTTGTTTTTAATTGTTTATTATCTTAAATTGAATTATTTTATAAACTTGTCGTATTAATTGTGACATTCAATTGATAAAAAGTTTGAAAATAAAAAATAAATAAATTAAATAATTTATTGTCCAAACCTTATTCATCCCTCCTTTAGGGTTGTCATACCAATCCAACAATTGGTATCAGAGCAAGTTGCTCAATTTCTTTTCATAAACTTTATTGTTTGAGTATATGGCAAACCTACGAGTTAATAACGACATTATTAAAGGATAATCTATCTCTGAGCCTCCTTATTTTGATGGGCCAAATTATACTGAATGGAAGGCTAGAATGAAAATTTATTTGCAATCAGTTGATTATCATTTATAGTTAAATGATAATAAAGGTCCTTACATTCCAATGAAAATTGTTAATAACATTGAAGTACCTAAATTAGGAGAGGTATTGTTAATAACATTGAAGTACCTAAATTAGGAGAGGTATTTGATGAGCATGATATCCTTTAATGCTAGTGCTATAAATTATTTTTATTGTGTCTTAAGTAATGATGAATTTAACCAAATGTCTATATGTTCTTTTGCAAGTTAAAGAAACAAAAATCGACATGTTAGTTCATAATTATGAACTATTCAAAATGGACGTAAACGAATCTATTGTTGATATGTTTACTAGATTTACTTACTAATATTATAAGCCATTCAAAAGGTAAAGGATCTCACAAACACTTCCTTTGAAGGAACTCATTTTCAAAGTTTTGTGAAATCCTTTATATTTGAAGGTAGAATATACTTTGTCAAGATTTTTTAAAGCATTTATAGTATTAGTAAATCTAGTAAACATATCAATAATAAACTCATTTACATCCATTTAAAATAGTTCATAATTATGGACTAACATGCTAATTTTTGTTTTTTTTAACTTGATTTGTTCTCTCCTGAGTTACTTCGAGAGTTCTCCAAATTTCATTTGCAGAAGAACACTGACACTTAATTAAATTCATCACTCCTTAAAGCACAATAAAAACAATTTATAGCACTAGCATTAAAGGAACATTTTTCATATCATGCTCATCAAATTCTTCTTTCTAATTTAGTCACTTCAATATTATTAACAATTTTCATTAGAATGTAAGGATCTTTGCAAACATTTAACCATAAATGATAATCAACTGATTGCAAATAAATTTTCAGTATAATTTGACTCAATAAGTTCTTATCTCCTATCAAACCAAAAGACAAAAAGATTCCCTATCTTGTTTTCTCACCAAGTTGGGACAGAGACCAATATCTAGGAAGATGGTCAACATTTGGAAAGACTTGTATCCGTGTAAGAGATTAAAACAGCCAATAAACTTGGAACTTACAAAGCTCCAGGCCCAGATAGTCACTCTTCTGAATTTTTAATAAGTGTTGGAATATTTACCAAAAAATAATCTGCTTGAGGTGCTTCAGAAGTTCCTTGAGCCGGATGTTCCTACCTTTTACATTAATCAGACTTCTTTTAGTCTGATTCCAAAGAAAGAGAGGGTTTCTCAAAGTATCTAACATCATCCTATCAATTTGGTAAAAGTAGACTTTACAAAATGTTCCAATGTGCTTCTGAACAAGCTAAAAGAGGTTATCCATGCTACCATTCCCCCAATCATCCAGCCTTCGTGCCTAATCGTCAAATAGTTGATTCCATTTACTTGACAACACGATAGTGGATAACTATAAAGAGAGGAAGAAAAAGGGTGGAGCATGAAGCTTTTTTTTTAGTAAAACAAAGATGGAATGGAACTTGAAGCTTTGATCTCAAGGAGAGGAGTAGATATTTTAACTGCTATGCTCATGCTGGTAAGTGGGTAGGTGAATTATGAGGATTCGACTTTGAAAAAACTCGATACATGATTGATCAAGTTTTTCTCGAGGTTCGTTCTTACAAAGAAAGACTTTCTTGAAGACATGCTTGCATCTCCCACATTTTATTTTCCATCTTCCTAAACAATAAAATAAGCCTCTAGGTCTTATCAAGCCTGTAAAGTAGTGTAGTATATTGTACAAGGAATTAATCCTCATCCTAATTAGACTTTCATAATTATACAAGGAATTAATCGAACAAACTAATCCTCATCCTAATTAACCAAACAAATTAATCCTCATTTTAATTAACTACGGAATTAACTAAACAATCTAATCATAATCCTACTTAACCATGAAATTAACAAAAATATTTAATTAACCACAAATTCTCCTTCATCATATTCTATCTCTCCCAAAAATTACGCACCTACTGCATCAATTTTCCTTCTTCACAATAGAATTTCAGTCAAGGTTCTTTAGATTCCTATTGCACAATTACATAGTTTCGAGCAATTTTTATT